ACTCAGAGTGAAACATTAGATAGTATTCGGGATTCAGGGGTAGCACTGAGACTCAGAGTGAAACATTAGATAGTATTCGGGATTCAGGGGTAGCAAAATGAGACTCAGAGTGAAACATTAGATAGTATTCGGGATTCAGGGACAGCACTGAGACTCAGAGTGAAACATTAGATAGTATTCGGGATTCAGGGACAGCATTGAGACTCAGAGTGAAACATTAGATAGTATTCGGGATTCAGGGACAGCACTGAGACTCAGAGTGAAACATTAGATAGTATTTGGGATTCAGGGGTAGCACTGAGACTCAGAGTGAAACATTAGATAGTATTCGGCATTCAGGGTAGCAAAATGAGGCTCAGAGTGAAACATTAGATAGTATTCGGGATTCAGGGTAGCAAAATGAGACTCGGAGTGAAACATTAGATAGTATTCGGGATTCAGGGTAGCAAATTGAGACTCAGAGTGAAACATTAGATAGTATTCGGGATTCAGGGTAGCAAAATGAGACTCAGAGTGAAACATTAGATAGTATTCGGGATTCAGGGACAGCAGTGAGACTCAGAGTGAAACATTAGATAGTATTCGGGATTCAGGGGTAGCAAAATGAGACTCGGAGTGAAACATTAGATAGTATTGGGGATTCAGGGTAGCAAAATGAGACTCAGAGTGAAACATTAGATAGTATTCGGGATTCAGGGTAGCAAAATGAGACTCAGAGTGAAACATTAGATAGTATTCGGGATTCAGGGACAGCAGTGAGACTCAGAGTGAAACATTAGATAGTATTCGGGATTCAGGGGTAGCAAAATGAGACTCGGAGTGAAACATTAGATAGTATTGGGGATTCAGGGTAGCAAAATGAGACTCAGAGTGAAACATTAGATAGTATTCGGGATTCAGGGGTAGCAAAATGAGACTCGGAGTGAAACATTAGATAGTATTCGGGATTCAGGGTAGCAAAATGAGACTCGGAGTGAAACATTAGATAGTATTCGGGATTCAGGGGTAGCACTGAGACTCAGAGTGAAACATTAGATAGTATTCGGGATTCAGGGTAGCAAAATGAGACTCGGAGTGAAACATTAGATAGTATTCGGGATTCAAGGGTAGCACTGAGACTCAGAGTGAAACATTAGATAGTATTCGGGATTCAGGGTAGCAAAATGAGACTCGGAGTGAAACATTAGATAGTATTCGGGATTCAGGGGTAGCACTGAGACTCAGAGTGAAACATTAGATAGTATTCGGGATTCAGGGGTAGCAAAATGAGACTCGGAGTGAAACATTAGATAGTATTCGGGATTCAGGGGTAGCACTGAGACTCAGAGTGAAACATTAGATAGTATTCGGGATTCAGGGGTAGCAAAATGAGACTCAGAGTGAAACATTAGATAGTATTCGGGATTCAGGGGTAGCAAAATGAGACTCGGAGTGAAACATTAGATAGTATTCGGGATTCAGGGGTAGCAGTGAGACTCAGAGTGAAACATTAGATAGTATTCGGGATTCAGGGGTAGCAAAATGAGACTCGGAGTGAAACATTAGATAGTATTCGGGATTCAGGGACAGCAGTGAGACTCAGAGTGAAACATTAGATAGTATTCGGGATTCAGGGGTAGCACTGAGACTCAGAGTGAAACATTAGATTGTATTCGGGATTCAGGGACAGCAGTGAGACTCAGAGTGAAACATTAGATAGTATTCGGGATTCAGGGGTAGCAGTGAGACTCAGAGTGAAACATTAGATAGTATTCGGGATTCAGGGGTAGCACTGAGACTCAGAGTGAAACATTAGATAGTATTCGGGATTCAGGGGTAGCACTGAGACTCAGAGTGAAACATTAGATAGTATTCGGGATTCAGGGGTAGCAAAATGAGACTCAGAGTGAAACATTAGATAGTATTCGGGATTCAGGGGTAGCACTGAGACTCAGAGTGAAACATTAGATAGTATTCGGGATTCAGGGTAGCAAAATGAGACTCAGATTGAAACATTAGATAGTATTCGGGATTCAGGGGTAGCAAAATGAGACTCAGAGTGAAACATTAGATAGTATTCGGGATTCAGGGACAGCAGTGAGACTCGGAGTGAAACATTAGATAGAATTCGGGATTCAGGGACAGCAGTGAGACTCAGAGTGAAACATTAGATAGTATTCGGGATTCTGGGACAGCAGTGAGACTCAGAGTGAAACATTAGATAGTATTCGGGATTCAGGGTAGCACTGAGACTCAGAGTGAAACATTAGATAGTATTCGGGATTCAGGGGCAGCACTGAGACTCAGAGTGAAACATTAGATAGTATTCGGGATTCAGGGGTAGCAAAATGAGACTCAGAGTGAAACATTAGATAGTATTCGGGATTCAGGGACATCAGTGAGACTCAGAGTGAAACATTAGATAGTATTCGGGATTCAGGGACAGCACTGAGACTCAGAGTGAAACATTAGATAGTATTCGGGATTCAGGGGTAGCAAAATGAGACTCAGAGTGAAACATTAGATAGTATTCGGGATTCAGGGTAGCACTGAGACTCAGAGTGAAACATTAGATAGTATTCGGGATTCAGGGGTAGCACTGAGACTCAGAGTGAAACATTAGATAGTATTCGGGATTCAGGGGTAGCACTGAGACTCAGAGTGAAACATTAGATAGTATTCGGGATTCAGGGGTAGCACTGAGACTCAGAGTGAAACATTAGATAGTATTCGGGATTCAGGGGTAGCAGTGAGACTCAGAGTGAAACATTAGATAGTATTCGGGATTCAGGGGTAGCACTGAGACTCAGAGTGAAACATTAGATAGTATTCGGGATTCAGGGGTAGCACTGAGACTCAGAGTGAAACATTAGATAGTATTCGGGATTCAGGGTAGCAAAATGAGACTCAGATTGAAACATTAGATAGTATTCGGGATTCAGGGGTAGCAAAATGAGACTCAGAGTGAAACATTAGATAGTATTCGGGATTCAGGGACAGCAGTGAGACTCGGAGTGAAACATTAGATAGAATTCGGGATTCAGGGACAGCAGTGAGACTCAGAGTGAAACATTAGATAGTATTCGGGATTCTGGGACAGCAGTGAGACTCAGAGTGAAACATTAGATAGTATTCGGGATTCAGGGTAGCACTGAGACTCAGAGTGAAACATTAGATAGTATTCGGGATTCAGGGGCAGCACTGAGACTCAGAGTGAAACATTAGATAGTATTCGGGATTCAGGGGTAGCAAAATGAGACTCAGAGTGAAACATTAGATAGTATTCGGGATTCAGGGACATCAGTGAGACTCAGAGTGAAACATTAGATAGTATTCGGGATTCAGGGACAGCACTGAGACTCAGAGTGAAACATTAGATAGTATTCGGGATTCAGGGGTAGCAAAATGAGACTCAGAGTGAAACATTAGATAGTATTCGGGATTCAGGGACAGCACTGAGACTCAGAGTGAAACATTAGATAGTATTCGGGATTCAGGGACAGCCCTGAGACTCAGAGTGAAACATTAGATAGTATTCGGGATTCAGGGGTAGCACTGAGACTCAGAGTGAAACATTAGATAGTATTCGGGATTCAGGGGTAGCAAAATGAGACTCAGAGTGAAACATTAGATAGTATTCGGGATTCAGGGGTAGCACTGAGACTCAGAGTGAAACATTAGATAGTATTCGGGATTCAGGGGTAGCACTGAGACTCAGAGTGAAACATTAGATAGTATTCGGGATTCAGGGTAGCACTGAGACTCAGAGTGAAACATTAGATAGTATTCGGGATTCAGGGGTAGCACTGAGACTCAGAGTGAAACATTAGATAGTATTCGGGATTCAGGGGTAGCACTGAGACTCAGAGTGAAACATTAGATAGTATTCGGGATTCAGGGGTAGCACTGAGACTCAGAGTGAAACATTAGATAGTATTCGGGATTCAGGGGTAGCACTGAGACTCAGAGTGAAACATTAGATAGTATTCGGGATTCAGGGGTAGCACTGAGACTCAGAGTGAAACATTAGATAGTATTCGGGATTCAGGGGTAGCACTGAGACTCGGAGTGAAACATTAGATAGTATTCGGGATTCAGGGACAGCAGTGAGACTCAGAGTGAAACATTAGATAGTATTCGGGATTCAGGGACAGCAGTGAGACTCAGAGTGAAACATTAGATAGTATTCGGGATTCAGGGGTAGCACTGAGACTCAGAGTGAAACATTAGATAGTATTCGGGATTCAGGGTAGCAAAATGAGATTCAGATTGAAACATTAGATAGTATTCGGGATTCAGGGGTAGCAAAATGAGACTCAGAGTGAAACATTAGATAGTATTCGGGATTCAGGGACAGCAGTGAGACTCAGAGTGAAACATTAGATAGTATTCGGGATTCAGGGACAGCAGTGAGACTCAGAGTGAAACATTAGATAGTATTCGGGATTCAGGGACAGCAGTGAGACTCAGAGTGAAACATTAGATAGTATTCGGGATTCAGGGACAGCAGTTAGACTCAGAGTGAAACATTAGATAGTATTCGGGATTCAGAAGAGGCAGGGGTTGGTGTAAGAGTGAATATTATCCTACCCTATTTTTTTTATGATGAAATTCTCTTGTGTCAGGATGATTCTCCCAAGTGAATTTGAACCCATACCAGTGTAACACTAAGGTACTACAGTAACTCTCTAGAGTAAAAACTTCACCCGGGATAATATTTAGGTAGGATATAATCCTTGCTTACATTGGCACCCTCACGTTTGATCAGCCCCCTCAAAATTCTCTCCAGCTAGAACAAATCCCACAAAACAAAAAGAACTCATGAAAACCTAACAGATTATATCCATATACTGTATCGAGAAAGAATTATCATGGGTCGTTGCGTGCAATATCGGTCACTTCTGAGCTCATTACACATTGCAAATCGCCGTGGCGTAGCTGACATAATCCTGACGACAGCTTAAAGCTCGATCCACGATCAATACACGTCACAACCTTCGCATCCCTAACAGGACCTCGGGCACCTTGCACTTCCTAGAAGTCACGTGATTTTCCAAAATGGCAGTCTTGAGGTGGATATACAGAAGGAGAAAAGTGTTCTTCTTCATTTTTTGTGCATCTTCATTTTGGATTGCATATTTGTACTTGTCGCTTCCATCACCAAAAGGTAGGGCTATTCGTCTGTGACAAATTATTAATTTTTGCAAGCATGTTTGGTGCTGTGTGGGTGACAGGTCGTCAACTCGGAGTAGGATAAATTCATGCTTAGCGATGTTATGTTTGCTCAGCAGAGTTTAGCGTGGTCGGTCACAGAGATATCTCTGTGTGTTGACAGTTGAATTTATTTGAACGAATGCCCACATTGTACCACTGTCATCAAATTGTATTCATAAGACACTGATAAGTCGGTGCGATTATTAATGGGTTCCATCCATTGGTATCGTAAATACTAGCCTAAATAGGTCTATATCTCAAGAAAAATGGTCATGTATCGGAAAATGAATATTTACGCATGCCTCTTCGATCTTTCGCGTTTTTTGTGTTAGGTTAGGGTAGGTTACCCCAAAGACTAACTTATTTTGATCCTATAATAAAAACAGCGGGGAACATATTCTTACCAACTCTGAAATTGCCTATACTCACTTCCTACATGTTTTTCCAAGAAGTTATGAAAAGTGTTAACCGTTAGTGACCAGTGGTATAAGTTTGGTTGTACAAGCTCCTAACCATTGTGGCAATATATCAATACTGGCATCACATGTAGGCCTCACATGAGCATACTCTGCCTTCATATAACTGGAAATAATTGTTCAAAATGCTACTAACCCAACTCACTTAAGCATGCTCTATCTTTAGCGACATTAAGAGTGTTAAGAACAGATAAATATGGAACTCAAATTTTGTAATTGATTAAACTTGTTAAAAAATTGTATACTGTGTGTGTTGCGTTAAATTGTGTATGCACATGCATTAACCAAGTCAGCGAGCCTGACCACCCGATCCTGTTAGTGGCCTTTTACAGCATGCTCGGGTTGCTGAGGACCTATTCTACCCCGGATCTTCACGGGTCCAGTTTGAAGTGATCCCTATTAGCATGATTTGTTTAATCTTTACAAAAGACACCGTAGTTCATTCATCACGTAGTTGTACAGTATTGACATGGATTCTAATAAACTTACACTTCTTTTGAATAGGAGAATGTACTATGAATTTTACAGTTTGCTGATTTAGGAATACAAAAGCAGCCAGTACCATGTTCCAAACCAATATTTATAGGGATTTATCTGAGCAGTTCCAGAGGTAGATATGCTGCAGCGAATGTTGGTAATAATTCCCAATTTTGAATTTAAGTTATCCCAATTCAATATTTCATCAATTTCACTTAATATTTTATGTCTTTGCTTATGTGATTAAATTTGACATTTTTGTATTTGATGCAATATTATATTACCTATGAATGTTAGAAAATATAATACCTTACAATAATTTCCAATTTTGATTAAAACTCTTAGAAAAATCCATGGTTTCACACAGATGGTAACCATGGTAACACAAGTTACACAAACTAAAATATATTGTTCCTATACAGTTCTGGACAAGTTGATATGGCTTGATTATAGAAACTAAGAATAACCTTCAACAAATGCATGTTCCAACCAGTTTTCACCATCCACCAGATAAGAACTGGTTGTATTCCCTCATGTATGTGAGTTGATGTAACTATGCTGAGGTAAGATGTTAATCCCAGATAAGTGTCATGTATTTAATTCTTATAGTTTCTGCCACACATCAGGCAATTCAATAATATACCGTTGTACTACATGCACCATACTACCTTATAATTAGACCCGTGAAGATCTGGGTTAGAATAGGTCTTCAGTAACCCATGCTTGCCTTAAAAGGCGACTAAGATTGTCGTAAGAGGTGACAAAGGGGATCAGGTGGTCAGGCTCGCTGACTTGGTTGATGCATGTCATGGTATCCATTTATCGATGCTCATGATGCCAATCACTGGATTGTCTGGTCCAGACTCGATTATTTACAGACCGCTATCATATAGCTTGAATATTGCTGAAGGGGCGTTAAACAGCAAACCAACAAAACCTTATAATACATGCATGCAGTATCCTCAAATATGTATGTAAATTCAGACTCAGTCACCAGAAACATGTACAAGTGTATCCTGCATTGCATGTACACATGAATAATGGGTTGCAGGTCAGTTTCCAATTGCACAGGTGCATGTTTTATTGAGTTTTATCAAAGCCTCATGACAAGAGAACTCTTCTCTTATTGCCACACCCCTGCTGTACAGGTGTCCCCTCACCTCCCCAACATTGGTAGGGGTTAACAACATAGGGATTAAGTGGCGGGAGTTGCCCACTATATTATTAGGGGGTCTTGATAGTGGGCTTGAGTCAGATTGTTGGAGAAGTGGAATAAGCATGAGAAGTGGAATAACTTGTTTAATACATCAATTTTATGACCAATGCTTTAGAACAAATAGATCAACTGATATAATACATCAAATTTCAGAACCAATAGTTTGTGGTTTTACTGTTGTATATAGATGTATATCACATAGTTAGCTGGATGATGCAAGCTTTGGTGTAGGGTTGTTTTTAGTCCTGCGCCAGGACTGTGGAATGTATATATTTTATGAAGAAAAAACAAATCTAGAAACTAGGGCTGGGACGAGTCCAAATTTACTATCAGGGCACCCACCCCCTATTACCCGACCCTCAAGAGGTAGGTACAAACTGTCCGATTGGGAAAAGTTTGACCATAGCACTGGCAAAATGTGTTAAGAACTATGTATGAAACGATCTGGTGTATACACAGAAGTTGACTGAAGTTTTATTTTTATCCATACATATAAAAGTCAGAAGGAATAGGCGTAGTAGTCAGGGAGAACTGCGAAATTTAGTGACTTGTAGTTTAAACATAGAGTTTTAGATACTTTTTGTCATTAAACAATGAATATATCACGTGACTAACCACGGGTCTGGGTAGTCCTGTGGGTACCCGAGTTACCCGTCCCAGCCCTACTAGAAACATATACAAAAGCAAGTCTAGCCAGCTCTTGCTAGCTCTATTCTACTCGACATCAGGAAAATTATTTGTTAAATTTTTGAGGCGAGAAGAGTGTTGTGTAGTATAAAATTTCATAGACTAAATGTTAGTCTAGCTTGTTCTGTTTTGATTTGTCTATGATTTTGTAGATGTTAGGGTGAGTTTGGTGTGCCAGCCCTCAATATGGTTAGTTGTTCTTGGGCCGACAGTGTCGTGGTGGTTCCAAGTACTGCTGCCCTCTCTGCTGTATACAGAGCGGTCGGGTAGCCTAGTGGTTAAAGCGTTCGCTCGTCACGCCGAAGACCCGGGTTCGATTCCCGACATGGGTACAATGTGTGAAGCCCATTTCTGGTGTCCCCCGCCGTGATATTGCTGGAATATTGCTAAAAACAGCGTTAAACCATACTCACTCACTCTCTGCTGTATACAGATGCAGAGAGTCAAGCATGACATGTCATCAAGATCCTCCATGTTGGAGCACTGGACCATGTGCACAGACAGTGCTGAACATTTCAACTGCTGGAACTAATTAAAACTGGCTCAGACCCATTGCAAAAGTAGCATTATGCATTTACATGATCATGATGATATTGTTGAATCAGGATCAGGTTTCCTTTTACTGCTGTAATTATATTATAATGTGGTCTCTGCTGTAATGAACTGTAAGTATCTACCATCTAAAGGGGTTTAGTTACAGATGTAGAGAATGGAATCAGAATAAAACTATATTATATATTATTTGCTTTCAGTAGGATGCACAATAATATTCATTGTACCTACACCGCTTCAAGAGCAGTTATGGGTGTCTGTTATTTCATCCATCAATCATGACCACTGTCAACATGTTCATTGATTCATTCCAGGCTCTAAAGTAATTATCAAAACATACAGGACCCTCATCTTGCCTGCAAGCACCCTAAAATTTAATTTTTAGGGTTCCCCCTGACCCCACTTTGTAAGTCAAGGTAAAACCCTACCTCTGCACTAGTAATTTCAAAGATAAGCATACCATTTTAAAGCTGAAAAGGTATGTCTTTGGTAACCATGGTAACATGGCTTTGTGGGAAGGTTTTGCATTGTTTGTCACCTTCTCCAGAGATCATATACTGGTTTATAGTCTTTGCCTTTTCCAATGTTCACAGGTTTATGTAAAATGTCACTTTAACAATGTTTGTGATTGAGGCTGACAGTTACATTCATTATATGATAATACTAATAATAAAATACAGATTGCAATATATTTGTTTAGCAAGAGAAATCATTGGTTGGGTTGGGCTCCATAAATATTTTGTAACTTCACAAAAAATATTAGAACTTTACTGTATTTGAGGACTGTTTTTTTTATAGATATGAAAAATGAAAGGTTACAAAAATCCAACATATGGGTAACTGTAACATTTGTAATAGTAATTGATCAAAGTCATTATGTTTTGTCTCTCGTGACGGCAGGTGCCTTATGAAGACAATGAAGCATTCTCTTACAGAAGCACATGTTACCGTGGTTATTGTAACAGTTGTAAACATCCTTAATTTTAAACATAATAAGCATTGAGTTGTTTAACTTTAAATTGGCCAGCACAACAACTTTATGTCAAATAATACTGTAACATATTGATCTACCTTTTAGTTTACGTAATTATTATTTTTTTTTTCAGCCTCTCCACTCCCACCTCTTTTCAGATCTGTAGAAAATATAATATTAAAATAGAAAAAGTGTGGCTCAATTATCATAATTACAAACGATACAGGAGAACATTTTTAATTTAGTTATTTTGTAATATGTATGAGTCATTGAGTTTTCCAACAACTTAGAGTTAACACGTTGCTGTATTTAAGTATGATATCCTAGATGAACATAAAGCACAAATGTACACACTCTACATGCTCAATAACCTTCTTTCATTGAATCAGCTGTGCTAATGACAATAGTATCGGACCTGTGTTAGTTCAGACAATATTCAACTCAAACAACAGCTGTCTCATGAAATGTAGGATTATAAATCCAATTTATTCTGTAATTGCTATATTGTTGCTGTGTCAGCACATTTAGTGATTATCATCAACTCAGTTAATACTGATACATATTTACAGCCC